GGCTAGCGGCGAGCCCAGGGCGGCTCGGAAGGGAAGCGCGGAGCCTGAGCGGGGGTACCCGGTCTGCGACCTCTGCGCTGGGAGCTGTGCCTCTGAGCCAGTGTCTCCCCGAGGGAAAGGGGACGTGCCCGTGCCCTCCCGCAGTCTGTGGGGCCGGTCCCGAGACGCAGGGCTCACCGGGCTTCTCTTCTCGCAGCCCTGGTCCAGCGCCTCCCTCTCTCAGCATGGACGAGGAGAGCCTGGAGTCGGCCTTGCAGACCTACCGTGCGCAGCTGCAGCAGGTGGAGCTGGCCCTGGGCGCCGGCCTGGATTCGTCTGAGCAGGCGGACCTGCGCCAGCTGCAGGGGGACCTGAAGGAGCTCATCGAGCTCACCGAGGCCAGCCTGGTGTCTGTCAGGAAGAGCAAGTTGCTGGCCGCGCTGGACGAAGAGCGCACGGGCCGGGAAGATGCTGAGTACCAGGCTTTCCGGGAGGCCATCACTGAGGCGGTGGAGGCGCCAGCAGCAGCCCCTGAGTCCGGATCAGAGACCGTTCCTAAAGCAGAGGCGGGGCCCGAATCTGCAGCAGGTGGGCAGGAGGAGGAAGAGGGAGAGGACGAGGAAGAGCTGAGTGGGACAAAGGTGAGCGCACCCTACTACAGCTCATGGGGCACTCTGGAGTATCACAACGCCATGGTGGTGGGAGCGGAAGAGGCGGAGGATGGTTCGGCGGGTGTCCGTGTGCTCTACCTGTACCCCACTCACAAGTCTCTGAAGCCGTGCCCGTTCTTCCTGGAGGGAAAGTGCCGCTTCAAGGAGAACTGCAGGTAAAACCCTTTGTTATCAGGATGCCAACCTTGGGGCGTAAGGGGCACGCACACAGGGTCGGGTCAGGGTGGGCCCTCCCTTTGCTTTGCAGTTTTGTCTCAGCTTCTTGGGGCAGGCATGCTTTGTGACAGCAGTGTCTGTGTTCAGGCGTCTGCGTTTTTCTTCCGGGGTAAATCAAGAAGCATAGAAGGTCGCCGGGTGCGGTGGCCCACGCCTGTAATCCCAGCACTTTGGGAAGTCAAGACGGGCAGATCACCTGAGGTCAGGAGTTCAGGACCACGCTGGTCAACATGGTGAAACCCCATCTCTGTTAAAAACACGAAATTCAACTGGTCGTGGTGGCGCGCACCTGTGGTCCTAGCTACTCAGGAGGCTGAGGCAGGAGAATTGGTTGAACCCAGGAGGCCAAGGTTGCAGTGAGCGGAAATGGAGCCACTGTACTCCAGCCTGAGCAACAGTGCAAGGCTTATGTGGAAGAGAATAGGTCTCCAACCTATCGTCATTTTTTTTTTTTTTTTGGTTGTTGTTTTAATTTTTTTGAGACAGGGTCTTACTTTGTCAACCAGGCTGGAGTGCAGTGGTGCAGTCCTGGCTTACTGCAGCCTGGACCTCCTGGGCTCAACTGATCTCCTGCCTTAGCGCCCCTAGTAATTGGGGTACAGACTCACACTACCACATCCAGCTAATTTTTGTATTATTATTACTTGTTTATTTATTTTTTTTTTGAGATGGAGTCTTGCTCTGTCGCCCAGGCTGGAGTGCAGTGGCGCGATCTCGGCTCACTGCAAGCTCTGCCTCCCGGGTT